ATAATGAATATGTAATCAAGCATGAGCACAGGAAAGCAATTTCAGCCAAGTAATTGAAAGCAGACGTTGTTTATCTGACAGAATATTGCTTCTCTTTGCCCAGAGCTCTAACGGGATGTTAAATCTCTTTCAAGCATTATTTTAGAATAAACGGGCAGTCGCTCCTTATTAAGTTCTGCTAATGTGTTGTAATAAAGCAGCACAGCATCTCCCCTTAGAAATACAAATGTGCTATGTTCATAATGTGAATACAGGATAGTGTTGTATAAAGGATGTCTCATCATAGCAGGCAGACCTCATGTGCCTTGACTTTTCCTCCAGAGTGATGTACCGCTGACCTGTGCTGCCATCTAGTGTTCACATATATCATAGCTCCACTTGCATGGAGCATCACACTGTAGTCACATCTGCGATATACTCAATTTCAGTGGCGGCCGCCCCACCTCTTCCCACATACAAAATAAATACAAAAAATATATATTTAAAAAAATATTCTTTTATTTTTAATAAACAAGGTAAATATGATATAATTGGTATCAGTAAAATGTATAATCTACAATAAAATCTCGTTTAAATTGTGTTACGACGATGTCTAAAGTTACTGATAAGTCACATGTTTCCTGCCTGGCCTTGCCCAGGTGTCATTACCATGGGCGTCGCCTGGAGCCCCGGATGTTTTTTCTTTAGCCCCGGACAAATTCTCCCTCAATAATATAATACATTAACCGTACTTTACCTAGAGGACGGCAGGATTGTAATTTCCCGTGTTCGGTGAATGCAACAGAGGCAAGACACCATCAGACCAATCAGAGAGTTGCATGGAAATAAACTTGTTTTATTGGCTGACAGTGACAGGTACGTACCTCTCCTCTGTGACAGTGTTTAAACTTTCAGCCGCGGACGCCGAGTTTCTGAAGATGGACATTAGACATTTTTTTAATAAAAAAGACGGCAATTCTCAAATGGTGGCTCACACAACAACCCCAGAGCCACCACCTGAGCCAGGTGAACAAGGTATGTACATGTCAGTAAACTTACAAGTTATGTCAACATGTAAGCAAAGCATAAATTATAGCCACGTTGACGTTACTTTGAATCGCGCGGGTAAGCTAAACCGTTAGCAAGTAGCTATAGCTAGCCAGATATATTAAATAAACACTTTGTCATACAATCTAAATGTTGTGTTTTTTAGCGTTACCTGGTGATTTCAAAGAAAGCTCTCTGGGAAATGTTGACTTACTGTCTGTGTTCGACATGAAGCTAGAAGCTACCTTACATTACACAGTTGATCCGGAGTCCTGTCAGTTAAAGTGTTTCATAGTTAGCTTAGCTAAGCATCAACCTAGCACTGAAATATATGGATATTATGTGACAGTATTTCTGAGAAAAAGTCAGCTGAAATGGTGGCATGCCACTGCTTTACGTCGACAGCATGTTTGAACGTATTTGCAGCAGTAAATGTGGCTGTTTGGCCACTGACGTTGCCATAACAACACCTGCATTTAAATGTGCAACCTCTTTTGTGACAGATTTTTGCAAGAAATTATAATTCTTCTGATTGATATTTCCTATTGACAGCTAGTTTCTATGTGAACATTATGAGATGGACAGCCAGCTAACAAGCTTTTTATACAAATATTTCAGATCAAAGCTAATCCAGTGGGGCTCCTGAAAGGGGGAAGGGACACTATGCTCCCAAATATTAAGCCTTGACCCCCATCTTAAAATTGATATGATCCAAAAATATCTGCATTGTCGGAGGCCTTTTTTCCTCATTATCATGTCAAATTGTACAGCTTTCCTTAGTGTTGAATGCAGAAAGATGACTATATTAGAGTATTAAGTGAAAATGACTATATTAAAGTTTTAAGTAAATATATTAAGTGAATTACTCAAACTGCATTTGTATAGGAATGATTCTGTCCTATTGGCAGATAACTACTCTAACAGTGATATCTACAAGAGATGTACATTTAACTATTTTCAATTGGTTAGTATTACATTTTGTGACAGTGTGGTGACACTCATTTTAATGAAGACAAATGTGTGTATCTTGAAATTCATTTATTTGACAGAGCTGGAAACTGATTGACTTACATACTTGTTTGTGTTTACCTACACAGTCATCACAGATGAGCCAAACAGAGTAGAGGATGAAGAAAGGAGAACAGGAGAAAGGGACACACAAGAAGGAGATACAACAGACAAGAACAACAATGGAGACAACAATGAACAGGAACACCAGAACAGACAAGAGTCAATGGGTAACATGACTGATTTAGGGACTGCAGATACAGGGCCAAGGCAATTGAGACATCACTGCTTTCCATTTGGCCAGCAAAAGAGATCATTTCAACCGCAAACAGCAAGAGATGAGGGATTATTATTTCCTCCTTCCATCCCTTTGTTCTGTTTAATCTGATTACTAACAACTTCTAATAATTTGACAGTTTATGATTTAATTGGAAAATGAAGTGTTTTTAAATAATAAACCCGTTTCTGATTCTGATTCTTTGATTTCTTTTTGACATATGGGTGTTGAGAGATGTATCCATATCTCTTAATGTTGCTCTCAAAGTGCACAAGATTGATGCTTTTAACTTCAATATTTAAAAAAAATCTTCCTGGGGGACCCCAGAGGAGGTGAGTTCCCCCCAAAATAGCACTTTATCTCTGCTTATGTAACTCCGGTGTAGTGTCCGCTCGTCAACAGATCACTCAGAGCTGATTACTTTCCTGCATTTCAATGGACAGCATATAAAAAGGACACGTGAGCTGCATTGCTTGAGAGATCTTCTCATGCTATCTCTTTTACAAAATAAGTGTCCAGTCAACAACAAAACATCAGTGATCGTATAGTGGTAGTATATTTTTCACAAGCAATGTGAAACATTAAACTTGTTCGCTGGGCATGTCAAAAACCTCCCTGCTTTGATCAAGACTTTAGGGAGCCTTTAGCCCCTCTAGCAAAGGGACTGGAAAGCAAGCTTTGAAAATTCAGTACCATCTACATGCTGTCATGTTCCAGACACTGCTCTCAACCACTCAGGGCCTGCACAAATACCTGCAGAAAGAAACAATTGACTTGGTGCAGGCAGTAGATTACAAAACAGCAGTTGAGAACACACTGAAAAGTTACCGAAGTAACAAGAAAGCACATGAGGTCTATGACAAGACCAAGGCCCTGTGCAATGATCTTGATATTCCCGAAACTGTGACACAGAGGAAGAAGCGTAGAAACATGGAAGACTTTGTAGTCGAGGCATCATGTGGAGCAATGTGAAACATTAAACATAAATAAACTGGTGTACAAAACTCACATACCTGCATTTCAATGGACAGCATAAAAGGACACGTGAGCTGGGTGCTGTTGGAGAAATAGCACCATGCTGCTCACATGAGCTTATTAGCTCAGATTAGCTATTGATGATCATGTTGATAAATCATATAAAACAAATAGCCAATCACACAAAAAACATGTTGCTGTGACTGAGCATTACACAATTAACATTAAACTAAACAAACACAACAGTACGTTATTGTCCTTATAAAATAAAAACATACATTTTGTCCACCGAGATAATACAGGCACCTTACCCTCAAGTGATCCTCAGGTGCTATGAGAATCTCCCACAATGCATTGCCGTAACAAAGCTAATGCAGGCACACGTTTGTGACACCAGATGGCGCAATTGTGTATGTGAAATTGTAGAAAATTCGACTGTAGCGCCGCCACTGTGGGCTAAGCCCCGAATGTTTCCAGGTCCAGGCGACGCCCCTGGTCATTACCTTTATATGTCTATGGTCATTACCCTTTCTCGTCTGGGCGGTAAGAAAGGAGCCCTCAACCAGTGCAGCAGCAGCCACTAGCAGCTGACTGTTGCTATCTGTAAACTATGATGCCGAAACATAATTTCAGCGTCGTCAAATCTGATGATCACCGGGCGCCAATGTCAGCGCCCGGTCCAGTCTGTGAGTAGTTTGGACACTAGTGACTCGTATCCGGTGGGGTAGACGCAGTACGGCAGTAGTTGATGAGGATGGCTTCATGTGCAGGTGGAGTCTCCGGACCTTGGTCCCCGCCCAATTCCGTTCAAGAGCTAATCTCCAATCCTTTCGAGAGGAGAAGTTTGGGAGATAAACTGTTGCTTAAAGACCTTGGACCGGACCAACCCGATTTGTATATATCGCAGCAAGCTCGTGAAAAAGACATCTCACGTAGCTGGTACACCAGAAAGGCATGGCTAGCTGGATGCAAACAGGTAAATGTTGTATTTTGTTTCCCATGCTTCTTTAAACAGCCGGGGACAGATACGATGTGCCCGTGGACTGTGACGGGGATACATGATATGAAGTACAAACCACAGACTGCCTGTGTCATGGCGAATACAGTCGCTGGTTTATTTATGTCTGTATAGGCCGTTGTTGTGAGTGTGGACGGTCGGAGCATATATAACGTTAGCTTAGCCAAGCTCCATTTAGAAAACACGCATTTTAAAAAGGGTTTTTCGCCTGCCGTCTGTCTGCAGACTTGTCAAAGCATTAATTCATGGTTTTTACTAACCGGTATCAGTATGCTGTTACTTCGGCATCATTTTGAAACGTGTATTACAATTAAATCACGGTCAAATATGTTCATCTTGTTGTAGTTGTAACCCCCTTGCCAGCGATTCTCTCTCTAGTTTAGCATACTCAGCCCGACTCAGCCTGGTTGTTCCTGGCCCTAGAACCACGATTTTATGGGGCCAGAAAAACTGTGAATTAGGACCCGCTAGCCGGTACTAGGCCAAGTGGAAACGCAACCCAAAACGGGCCCCGCACGGCTCGGCACGCTTAAAGCGAGCTCCGCGCTGCAGTGGAAACGCGCCATTACATCACCAGAAGTCCTAATTTAAGGGGTAATTTCTCCCAAAAAAAAATGTTTTACTCACTATATCAACAGCCCCACCAAAAATATTTTCCACCAGCCGCCACTGCTCAATTTAGTGTACACAACCAACTGCGGCTTCAAAGGAATTTTATTCCTAAGTTTACAGTGAAAGCAGGAGATCAGTTTCATAAAGAAAGAAATTGAAAAAGAATTGGATAAATCAAACTCTACTTTAAGCTCTATAATTCCCCACAGAAAGAGTAGGTAGTAAAATCATCATTGTGGCAGATTCACAACGACTCCTCCTGTGCCGAGTAACACCACGTGACACACAAATGTGCACACACTCTTTTCAGCAGCAGTTACTAATATCTACCTCGACTGAATCACAACATTTTTTCTATGGGTTAAAACACAGCATATAATTATTTATACAAAACAACTTTGGTGACCCATATATATATATATATAGATAAAGCATGGAAAATGTTTAAATATCATCACTAGAGCTAAATATAAAAAGTTCAGACTATTGCACAACAGCCAGGTGAGGGGAGTGGTCTCAGGAGGAAGCTGCTTTAGGGTTTTCTGCGCCTGTTGAAGAAGAAGACAGTTAAATAAAATACTGTGCTGAATATGTAATTGTATATCTTAAAGGAAACCTATCATGCTATATTTGAACAATATATTGTAGGGCCATACCTATATAAAGTATATAAATATAGGTTTTTTTTCAAAATACCAAAAAGATCCTGCATTTTAGCCATGCCTCATTTCGCTCTATTGGCTCTTTCCAGCGCTGTTTTTGCAGGGGACTGATTCTGTGAGCTGCAGCTGACCACGCCCCCCTGCAGGAGAGGGGAGCATGCTCTGAGATCAGCTGCTAGGCTGCAGCGGGGAGAAGAGGGGGAGAAAAAGAGATCTCCGTCCTCCGTGTTTTATTCTTATAGAAGTAAGAAGAGAAGTAACGGGGCAGAAACCCTCCTTTTTACGCAGCGGTCCAGACATAGACATCAAACGGCGACACATATTCAGTTGCCAGTTACTTTGGCATTAGGGCAGGGATATCTAGATACTTTCCAAGGTTTGACATCATGCATTGTGCTACTTTTAAAGCAAGCAACGATGTTTTCAAATCTGTAATCAAAAAGCTCCTCAAAAACACTATCGAAGCAGTTCCTGCCGTTGCTACGTTAGTTCAAACAGTAACAACGGACTATTTTTCTTAGCGGATGCATGTCAATTTAAATCAATACAACTATTTTTTTTAAATCATTTTCTAAATCCATAAAAGCATTTCGATAAATATTGGGAGTCATGTCGTTACTTTGTTGAGAATGTGGCCATGTAATAAGCGGGATAATGTGCCTTAATGCCGATCTAGATCCCTCCGCTTCGTGTCGGGCTCCTGATCAGCCTGTCGGTGTTCTTTTCCCCATAATGACCGCGTCGCTGCACATTATCCCTTACATTATGATTATATAGAGTCATTAATCATTTGTTTTAAAGCAGGAGGCGCAAACGCTTGCCTCGGGGAGGGAGGAAAAAGAGCCACAGCGGAGAATAAACAGAAGGGCAACCATGGAAACCATGCAAGGGAAGTCTTCTTCGCTGCTTTTGTGGCAGACTACAGCGCCACTTACAGGCCTGGCATATGTACTACAGCGTCTCCAGCAGCAATGGCCGGCCGTGGCCCAACCTCTCATTCCCCTGATAGGTGGAGAATTGACCAATAGCCGTAGCGCCACTTTACTGACCAGGACAGTGTTCAAATCTGGATCAGTCTTTATCAGATCCGTTGCAGCCCCTTTTTTAGAGATTTGGGTATGGAGGAAAATAGAGAGGGTTGTGTTTTCTGACACTTGGTGAGTTCCCTGGAACACCGGCAGTGTGAGAAAAAGTTTTTAGAGAGTACTTGTCCATGGACAAGTGAGTTTGGCAATTTACTTGTCCGAATACATTTTTCACTTGTCCAGAATGGACAAAAATTGGGGCCACTGGAATCTTCTTCTTCGCCATCGTATTTGACATTTTCCCACGGTTTTTACGACACTGCTAACGTAAGTGAGCGGTAAGATTTTACTGCATCACACATAGGGTTGGGTATCATTTGGATTTTAACGATTCCGGTTCTGCTTTTCGAGTCCAGTTATTTTCGGTTCTCGATTCCGGTTCTTTGAGAGGGTAAAAATAATTCAAACTGGGAGAAAAATATATTTATGAAAACATTAAGTGAAATCTGTATTCCTATTTACAAATCACTTCATACTGTTTAATTTCTTACGGTTATTAAATACAATTATATAAAAATAATCTCTGCATTGTTTAGTTAGTTCTAAGTGGTGCAGTTTGAGAATGTACAATTGGCCCAGTGTCCTCTGATGTTACACTGCAACCTGCCTGCGAGACACAGTCCAACCACACATGTCCAACACATAGGCCTAATAATAATAATAATACATTAGATTTATAGGCCTAGCGCTTTTCTACAACTCAAAGACGCTTGCACGCTTACACATGTCCTGCAATACACATGCTGCAGCTGCCCAGCTGCTCACTGTTTGTAAAAGTAAATAAATAGTATTTTCATTTCAATAATGTACTTTCTATACCCTGCTTCATAAACAATACTGACATCCCTTTGCTCCTCCGAGTCTGGGGGTCCGGGGATGTGAGGACAGCGCGAGGACACAGACAGGGAGGCTGCTTCACTTCATAAAGGAAATGGCGGTCAATATTAACAACACGGGAGCTAAAACGCTTAATAACCTTCATTACGTGTTAGAGAAAGAACATAAGAAAGTTTGACAAAGATGAGGCTGTTAAACGGGCAGCGGATCTGCTGTGTGTAGAAAGAGAGAGAGAGAGAGATGCTGAGCTGCACCATGCAGCGATCAGCTGATACGGAGCATAGAGAGAGCTGCAGTCCGCGGGGCTCGGCCTCGCCTCCTGTCCTCACAACTCTTATGAATCCCGGTACCGGACAATTGTTATTTGTTCCTACTCGGAACCGAGTTTTGCTTCCCAACCCTGCCACTGTGCTACACTTCCCGCCCCGCCTAACTGTACAGAAAGCGGCAAGATGCATTTCCTTAGGAATCGACAAACAGAACCGAAACTAACACTTCTAAACGAACATGTACAATTTGCGAATGAGTTCTGCCTTTTGTAAACTGAATGTATCAATAATTTCTATAAATCAGGCCGAAAAACGTCACTTGTGCGCCGGACAAGTCAATTAAAAGATCTACTTGTCCGATATTGTAAATAACACGTCCCGGACGGTGGGACGTGTACTTTTTCACACACTGACCGGGGACACATATTCATGTATAAAAGATGTACAAAAGTGAATTTTGCATGATAGGTCCTCTTTAAAGTGATTTAGATGACAGCTTACTTGGTGATCCCCTGATGTGTGTAGCCGGGTCCCATGTTGGATCCAGCCCTCATCTCCATAGCCACAGAACACTGCGAACAAAACAAAGATTAGGACCCAGATCCCCTGGAGTTTCTCATTAATCTAAAGCAGGGGTTTTCAAAGTGTGGGAAGGTGAGCCTCCCCTCAGAGAACATAAGAACAGCCACACCCCCCCTCCCAATCATTATTGCCATTATTATTGTTGTTGCTATAATACAGAGGTATTAAATTGCATTTCAAAGAGTCTGACAGTAGAGAGCTCTCCTCCACCCTTGTTGTAGAAACATCTTCTTCTTATATCCGTTAGCGCAGCTAGCACCAGATGCATTAGCATGTAATGTTGAGATTGCTAAATGAAGTCACCTAGGGTGGATTGTCAGAGTAAATTCAACACCATGACTAAGATTAAAGCAAATTGAGTTTGACTCACTTTTTAATGAATAAACAAGCCCTGAAATAAATTGTTAATGTTGTATTGGGCTGCAATTATGGGCTCGGTAAAGGTTAATCAGAAACATCTTGTGATCATTTTTTGTAAGACTTCCTTATCCAGGGTTCATACACTTTTTCACCAATGATTTTCAATGACTTCTCCATGACCTTTACCTCATTTTCAATGACCAAAAAAAATAATTATTCTTTCTTTCATGTGGCTAGCATGCGCAGCCTCGCCCATATTCGAAATATCGAATATTTTACAACACAGTTTGCATTTAGCACGTCTTTGGTCAATGTATTTTGATAACCACAATTGCTACTTATCCTTTAGAAGCCATACATTGTGGAAACTGCACTTCCCTGGCATCTTGGCAGCCTTATATCAAATAGTAGCTCCTACAGGCTAAAGCCACTGTAGACTAGAGGGCGTGATTGTAAACATCTCTCACCAGCTAAATACTGCGACTGTTGCCATTTTACATTTCATTACTATATGATACAGTATTTATCATCATTATAGTATTACTATTTCGGCGATTGGATAAAATATAAATTATATTTGATACAACTTTAGTTATATTTCCATGACTTTTCCAAAACTTTGAGAAAAAAAACTTTTCCAGGGCCTGGAATTTACATGATTTTACAGGTTTTTAAAGATCGTACGAACCCCTGCTTATCATGTATGGTTTATTAGCATTGCATTGTTAGTTTTTACTATTGGATTATTGTTGAGCTGCTACAATATATTTAAAAAACAATTGTATTGAATATACAGTTTTAAGTGAATAATGGAGAAAAGAATCATGCATAACCCTAATGACAATTTGTAGCGCCTAAGTGGGTTAATTATGATACAATTATCATAACATTTTCTAATATAACAGGAGAACATCTGCCTCTATGCAAAGTTAAATCAATCCCATCATCCATCTGGTTCCTAAACCAAGACACACATGCAATGGAGGTTTATTTGATTAATTATAAAAATTCATAAATATAATCATCCTACCCTCGTCTCCACATCAGTCCACGATCCATCTGTTCGCTCTCCGCTGGCAGGTGCTCCCTCTGAAGACTTTCTTTTGAGCCTTAAGACACAAATGTAAAGTGACATTAATGAAACATCATTTATAACACCTGGCTAATCTGCAGCTGATAACTGGCTGTTGGCTGATACCTGGGGACGGTGGTGAGCTCCTGTCTCAGCGTCTCGATGTCCGTGAACTGGACAGACTGTCCTCCTCCTCGGGTCTTAATAACCTCCCCCTGAAAAATGAGAGAAAAGTACGAGGTAATAGCCCATAATGATTCGTAAATACACAAGAGCGGTGACTTAACAAGTGCAGCATATGGTAGTATGTCTCAAATCTGTTTGACCACTGCTTTGCTTCATGCTAACAACTCTTGAGTTTTCACATGCCACAGGCTGGCTTCTTTGGATATTTACAGATCAGAAACTTTCCTTTTCGAGAAATAAGGTTACAGAACAATTAGACAGATCTAGTGGATAAAGATCTGGACAGGCTAACTATTAAACAAATCTGAATTTAATTGTTGCATTGTAATAATGCCCACCACATCACTGTAGCAACCCAAAGCCTTACATCAATGCCGGTTCTTTACCTGCCTGTTTTTCTTTTTTAAAATCAGAAAAGAAAAATTGCAAACAGCTTAAGCAGCTCCCAACTCCTAAGATGATGGAAAACACTCACTTTTGATAAGTTAAACCAAAATAACCTGTGGTAATATTCTAGAAGTCATCACAATCACTGCCATTCATTTCAATTTGCCATTCGGTGCCAACTTTTGATTACCATCTTTTTTTTTAAATTGCAGTGTATTGACCTTAATAAGTTGGGTCTGTATCTCTCCGTCAGAAGCGACCTCTTGGTGCGTCAACACGTATCGGTCACACTTGGACAGGGCCTTCTCACTGGGGGTGGACACCTGGATGGCGTTGGGGATGACGGGCTGCAGAACTGTCCCCAGGTCGACGCTGGAGGAGGGCTTATGGTCCACCCACTTCTCTCCGCCGGCTGAGCGGGAGCGGCGGTGCAGCGCCCGCACCGGGGTGGTCGTCTAGAGCAGAAAAACATTAAGTACCTTGGTGTCCATCTAGATAATACACTCAGCTGGAGGGTGCATTCAAGATCTGTGCTCTAGACTTCAACAGTGATTGTATTTTTTGTGTAGACTCCGGGCATACAGAGTCGAGCCGAAGTTCATGTTAGTGTTTTATCATGCAGTGTTAGAAAGCCTCATAAGGTATGGTATCACTGCCTGGTATGGTAACTTGACTGTGCAGTCAGTCACAGATCGCTCGCCTGGTACAGACTGCTATGAAAATGATGGGGGTCAAAAAACATCCATCTCTCCAAAACATATGAGCAGTCCATTATTAGACAGGCACAAACATTTGTCTGATCCCACGCAGAATTCCAGCTCCTACTGTCACATGTAATGTAATATACTTTTAAATGTTGGCCATGAGGGTTGTGCAATAGGCCGCCATTGTCAGTATGTGGGTCTGTGTATTTTGTTTGTTCAAACGGTGTATGAGTGATGATGTGTGTATGTATTTTAAATGCGGAACTGCAGGACGGAGTCCAGAACAAATTACGGGGACAATAAAGTGTATCGTATTAAAGAAAGAAGAGTAAGAACATACAAATAACAGCAAATGATCCATCGTGACTTGGGTTAATTGTTTGAGATGTTAAGAATCTACATTCAGGGAATAAGAGTAGGTTCTGCACTGATTTTTAAACCAGCTTTACCTGCTTAGTGTGTCACCTCACTTTATTGGCAACTTCTTTTTGCCCTGTGTCCCCTATTTTAATACGTTCCTCTTGGGTGCGTGCTTTCAATCTGGCACCTGATAGCGTTAACTTTGAATAGGTTCCCGAAGAAAGGGAAATTGCTTCTGCAGATACAGACCCTGCAACACACTTCTAGTGGTTCATAAGAGCTACCTTTAGAGGGATTGCTGAATCTATGCATAGATATATAGCCTGATTTCAGACCCCAGATTTAACTGAAACACCTCAAGCTGCTTCCTGTAGCTGACTCACTGACCCTGTAGCTTCTCTCAATATAGTCTACATCATCTTTAGGGGAGTGGGCCTCTGCCTCTTCTTTAGGCAGGAACAGAGCTCTCCTCCGGGCCCGGCTGGATGGGGGGCAGGCAGGGGACGGGGCTCTTCTGGCTGGGGGGCCGGCGGGGGACGGGGCTCTGCTGGGAGAATGATAACCCTGCCTGCTGTCCTGGGCCGCCCGCTGCTCCCATGTAGAGACGCCGTTAGCCACAGACAGAGAGTCGCTGCTGCTCGGGACGGGGCAGGAGGGCCGGGGGTTCATCTTTACTTCCTCAACTCTAGTGGCACTGACTGGCTCTGGATCTGTCCTGACATAGGGAGACTCTACAGGGCTCTGGGTGGCAACATGGGAAGACCGCACAATGACATGCATACAGTTAGTACAAAGAAATCACAGGAGATAGAAATGTTACAGTAGCTAGAAGTATGGCGCAGCAACAGAAACATGCACAGATAATGTCACAAAGTACAACAGCCTAATGCTGCGTTCACACCGGACGTGATGCGAATATTCGCTTCGCTCTAAACGCTCGAGTTTCACCGCGGCTGTCAGCTGTGTTTACTCGCATCATTCAAACAAGACACGCTGGCTACAACTATAACAAAATGAACACATTTTACCGTGATTAAATTGTAATACGTCCACACTCATAACAACGGCCTACAGAAATAAATAATCCAGCGACTGTATTCGCCATGACAGACAGTCTGTGGTTTGTACTTGTTTTGTCTAGTTTCTGAACAGATATGAGGAGCTGTGAGCTCTGAGTGCTAACAGCTAACGTTTTGGTTGTGGTTCTACGTCAGTGACGGCAGGCTGAGATCCTCACGGCTGATTGGCTACCACGAGATTGCGTCACGGGAATTTGACGCTCGAGCTGAAAAATGTTTAACTCGAGCGGTTGTCGCGGCCCCCTCCAATCGCCTCAATCGCGCCGCGACATTCAAATCAACCGCGTCATGCTCGCCGTCGGAGCGAATTTGCGTCTGTCCGCATCTCTGCATTGACTTTACATTTAAATCGCGCCGCCCCCAAACATCGCATCCGGTGTGAACGCAGAATAAGAATACTCTCTACCTTTGTAGTAGAATCGAGAGAGAGTCATCTATTTTTTAACCGTGACAATAAGCTGATCACCCAATTACTTTTACACCAGCAGTTTAGTTGGGATAATCCTTTTAGCGATGTGATTATTGAATGCGCAAAAATGCTAAAATCTATTGAGTTTTTGCCTTAAAAACAAAATTATTTTATTTTATTATTTTACATTTTCTATAAATTCTTTTTTAGCTGCAAATTGAATTTTCTGAGATTAAAGATCTGGTATACATCATCGGTTAATAAACACTGAAAATAATTCTTAGTTTTGCCCCTTCTCCAATGCAACTCAACATGACTTTGTACTGCACTTACATTGGGATTAGTTAGTCATGTTAATCTGGTAAGAAAGGTATTAGTTTCAGGGAAAAGCTGAAGGAACATCATTTTTGTTAAACCGTCAACCCTAACTAACAATATTAAGTCAACATAAATAAATCAACAGCTATGCAGACGCTCTAGATGTGCATCGTTAACACAACATACAGGGACAGGTGAGGGCGAGGCGGATCTCTTGGCGGGGAGGCGCTCCTCTCTGGAGGGTCTCTGGAAACGTTCCTCTCTGGAGGGAACCTGAAGGCGGTCCTCTCTGGAGGGTCTCTGAGGAAGTTCCTCTCTGGAGGGTCTCTGAGGCTGCGTCTGGCGCGGAGGAGGATCAGGACGGCCTGAAGTCTTGCTGTCCGTCACGATGGCTTTGAGCTGCTTCAGCTTCTCGTCTTTCACCCAGAGCTTGTTCTGCATCTCCAGCTGCATCGCGTTGACACGTCGGTCCTGCGCAGCACGAGGGTTATACAATGAAAGTTAAACACTCATTGTATAAATGAACATTGGAAAAGTTGACAGGACAAACAAAACTGTGTATATTTTTTTTTTTAAGACCAAACTGTCTAATCTTACACGTTATTGTATCTCATTTGATCTTTATGATGCATATTTAATGATGTGCCCTTACGTAACGTCCACACGGCTCCAACGCATTGAAACTTGCCGGTGGGCGTGTCTGGTGCGCAACCAATCACATTAATCTCCCGCCCCGGACACACAAGCACGCGCTTTGGTTAGCGCTTGTACTGGCATATGATTTGATTGGCTAGCGCTTCCGTCGACGCTTGAAAAGTTGAACTTCTCAACTTTCAGCGCGAGCAACGGAGGCAAAGCGACGCGACCTCAATGCAGTTCGGCAAAGCTTGACGTCACCCCATTCAAAGTGAATAGGAAGCGTCTCCATTGAAGCACGCGACGGAGCCGTGTGGACGTACCGTTACAAGTGCATTTTGAAATGCTAAGCTGACCCCTTCTCTTGTCCTCTACATTTCATTGCATCATTGACCCCGTTAGCCCTCATATGACTGAGTAAGGAAAACGATAAGAGGAGCAACTCACACATTCTTTCTCCCACTTGTACTGGGTATCCGTCACAACGCCGTTGAGGCGCTGCTCCATGCGTTTCTTCTCCGACTGCTCCCTCTGCAGCCGCTGCTCTCTGGTTTCCAGCTCAGTCTGCAGAGAACGCTTGTCACCCTCATAGATTTTAGTGGTTTTCTGCAGGATGTCAATCTGGAAAGAAGCCATATTGGACGTTTAAGACACTGAGCAAATATCGACGAAACAAATCAGATATTTCAGTGAGGTTTCAGTGTGTTCTGTCACCTTGTGTTCTTGCATCTTGTTTTTCTTCTCCAAGCGCTCGATCTCTGCCCTGCTGTTCTGGAGGATTCTGTCCAACTCCACCAGTTTGCCATTTTGTTCATGAATGAAATTGTCTTTGGATATTTGGCTGTTGTCCAGATCCTGAAGCATTGACTTCATCCTGTTGGCTAAAACAAAACAAAGGAGACAACATGAGGCAAGACAAGAAATCACCATTTTAAAAATAGGGAAAGACATTAGATGAGGTTGAGCTAGTTTGTCAGCGGGCACCTGCTTCGTTGTAATCGTCAATCATCATCTGCCTGACCCTGTGTCTGTTCTGCAGGGCTTCCATCAGCCGGGGCAGCGTGATGTCATCGTGGGGGTCGGTCAGCTCACAGGAGGGGAGGGGGGGGAGGCTGTGTGCCAGGTTGTTTATAACAGAGGTCAAGTCTAAGGGAAAGAAAAATAATTTACACAACTGCTGTTTTCTTTGTTCATAATTTACAAATAATAGGGTTTCTCTTTAAGGCCCAGTCACACTGTCCCGAAATTGACACCCGATGGACACACGATAAAGGAAATGTTCAAATTCGGCTGTGATCGTAGCAACATCGGGCCATTCGTGAGGGCATCTAAGCCATCGTATGACCGCCGGTGGAGTTTCTCAGGCTCCGGCAGCAACTTCGTGAGCGGCAACTTCGTAAGGCACTCGTGAGGGCATCTTGTCAAATCGTGTCATCTTCGTGTTATCATCGGTGCATTCACCCTCACTCTGATCGGGGCGAATGCCCGATGGCACCGATGATAACAAGATGCCCTCACGATGGCCTTACGAAGGGCACAATTGACACACGAATTCAACACGAAAATGAACCTTCGCAAGGTCCTTCGGCAATTTTTTGGCATGCCAAAGATTTTGCCACCGCTCACGAAGTTGCTGCCGGAGCCTGAGAAACTCCACCGGCGGTCAAACGATGGCTTAAGATGCCCTCACGAATGGCCCGATGTTGCTACGATCACAGCCGAATTTGAACATTTCCTTTATCGTGTATCCATCGGGTTGTTTTATTGCACAACAAAATCATGTAAATAACCCAATTTGTGTTCTATGAAACTAAAAAGGATATAATATATTATTTTGAAGGAGTTGACAGGAAGTTGTTGTTATGGAAACAACATTACGGAGAAAACGTAATATTTTCTACATATAACGACGGATAAAGTAAAGAACAAAGTCTGAAGATATCAGTACAGCATCATAGTACTGTAACATAATTGTTTTTGGTACTTTCATTGCAGTTGTATGTCTTAAATGTAATGTAAATGTTGCCTTCGTGTGTGGTTCGGGGCCATCTTCGTGCGAAATTCACAATTCCATATTCGTGTGTCCATCGGGTGTCAATTTCGGGACAGTGTGACAGGGCCTTTAAGGTGTAACAATGAGAACGTGTGATAAAGTTTGACATGATTCATTTAAATAACTCAATGTACTGTATATACTCCATTCGGTTTAGATTCCCGTTCATTAAAACAAAGTATTTCCCAATTGAAAATTGTTTGAGAACAAATATATACCGATTTCTCTTACAATGTGGCTCGCCTTAAATGATGTCAACATTATTCCCTAGTAGAGTGTCAATGTCAGATTCACCATAAACGGTGCATAACCCACCTCCCCCTAGCGGACCACCACGCTCGTCCAGCTTGCGAGACAGTTCCTCCTTGAAGGCCTGGTTTCTATGGCGACGCCCCGGGGTGAAGCCACAGATGGGTCGGTCCACTGGCCGAGCCACCTCCACCTCCTGGGTCATCTCTGCAAAGCGCATCACCAGCTAGACGAAAAGAGAGCGTCTCCTGAGTGTCAGCGTTCATTCGAATAACGTACAGGACACAGTGAGGCTGCAGGAGGAACTTACCAATGTTTCCTCGTAGTCGTCAGCTTTGGGGTTGACACAGACAACCATTCTGACTTTGCCCTCTCCGTCAAAGTAGTTCTTGAACAGATGGGTTACTTTAGAGTCTCTGTAGGGGACCATCTGTAGAGAAAACATACCTCTATGATTCATCAGTAAAAAAGGATGACAGCATTCAGCTTTAATCTGCTGGTTCATACCCTGTTTGTGCCGTACAGCTGGTTCTCTCGAAGGACCTCCATGCAGCTCCGCAGATTCAGCAGAGACTGATTGATGTTACCTGCGCGGTGATAATGTTGTTAGATCTCACAGGTAATCCAGCCACCAGCAATAGTTATGGTTTCTCTCTTGCATTAACAAACCTGCTTCCCGTACACGAGTGCCTTCTGCCCCCGTCCTGCCGGTGCGCTCACTTCCTGCCAGGTCCACCAGGCACAGCTGGCTCACAGTCACCTGGTTTTTATCCTGAAGAAACTCAATCAAAAAAGCACTTCAGTATCAAAATGGTTTATAATCAGCGTCAGGAGTGAATTGTATGTAACAAAGAAATCACAAAATGCATTAAAAAATTTGTAATTCAGTTACTGAGTAAAGGAAGTAATCAAAATGCAAGTAAATACAAAAAGAGTTACATACAAATATAGTATTTTTGTAAAAACCTTATATGTAGAACATAACATTCATTGTTTTGCTCTCTACCCATCTTGATTTAATAATATGCAAGCACTTTTTCTACAAGTTTTGACAGCAATAGGTTGAGAACTGTTAAATGTTCTCGTTTAAAGTGGACCTATCATGCTATATTTGAAAAATATATTGTAGGGCCATACCTATATAAAACATGTCTGTGAAGTTTTTTTTTCAAAATACCAAACAGATCATGCATTTTAGCCATGCCTCATTTCGCTCTATTCCAGCCCTGTTTTTGCAAGGGCTGATTCTGTGACGTAGCTTTAATGCAAATTAGCTGCAGCTGACCACGCCCCCCTGCAGGAGAGGGAGATCAGCTGCTGGGCTCTCAGAAGAGGGGGAGGAAAAGAAAGGCTCTGTCCTCCGTGTTTTATTCTTATATGATTAGTCATTATTCATTTGTTTTAAAGCTCAATAAATAACAAAGAAGACCTTTGACCGGCACTTTTCTAATTTTGTCCGGAAGATTTAAACTTTAACGGACATGTTGACCGGCGAAAAAAAATCCAACTGAAACTCTTCCACACGGTCCCCTCGTTCCTTGGAAGAGGCGGAGAGGTGGGTGTTTGTCATCTGCTGGTGGACTACCCGGAGAGAATTACAACAGGAGCAAACGCTTGCCTCTGGGAGGGAGAAAAAGAGCCAGCGCCTCCACAGCGGAGAATAAACAGAAGGGCAACCATGGCAACCATAAGCGGGAAGTCTTCTGTGCTGCTTTTGTGGCAGGACTACAGCGCCACTTACAGGCCTGGCATATGTACTACAGCGTCTCCAACGCTTTCGAGCGGTCTCGTGTGAACGGACACGTCTCATGTGAACAACACTATTCCAGGCTGACGTCAGCTCGGATGGAATCTGTATCCGCTCGTTGCAGCCCCGTTTTTTAAAGATTTGGGTACGGAGGAAAAGAGAGAGGGTTGTATTTTCTGACACTTGGTGAGTTCCCTGGAACACATATTCATGTATAAAAGACGTACAAAAGTGCATTTTGCATGATAGGTCCACTTTAAGTTAGTCTTCTTTTTTAAAAAGGACATTTCAGCTTTCTTGTCCAGTGTAAAACATTTGTTATAGAGTATAAGGTTACATTACTTTGATTAAGTAATAAACATTAGTTTTCAGATTCAGCTGACCTGGAGAATGTTGTCGCCGTCTGCATCGAGAGGAGCCTGAGCCAGTTTAACGATGAGCACGCTGTGGGAGCGGCTGGATTCTCTGTTCAGACGAGTGTTCGCCACCTTCCTCTTCTTCTGACCTGGAACAACAGAGTATAGGCAACTTTTCAACCAGTTTCAGCTACTGTGAACGCTTTTCAAGCACAACATTCTTAAATGAGCTGCTCAGAGAGAAGATTAAATATGATCACTTCCTGGCCAGAGCCAACCCGGAGGCCAGCAATGCCAGGTCAGTAAAATCCAAAATCATCAGTGCAATTTGTTCCTACATTTTTCTTTTCTTTATTTCCATAACTGTGACATTAATTTCTGACGACTTACCTCTCCAGAATACTTGAAACGCCTCCTCAGCAGACTTCACTTCCACCTCCATGCAACCAGCCACGTACATGTTGTGATTCTGATCCTCTCGGAGGATTTTAGACTGAGGTGGTCTACATTGAGAGCATAAAAGTGTTACTTACTGACAATATGAAATTTCAGTTTCATGCAACAGATCGTCAAACATGAAGGGGGGGGATACATGTTGCTTGATTTCAGCTATGAGGAAACAATCAGTGACAATCACTAAGCGACATACAAGCAGCAGACAGCAGATTTGGGGACATTCAGGGGTTTTGCCATAACAGACTACAAGCAGCAGCGGGGGTGATCTAATGGACTAAATAACACTCATCCACACTGGAGACATTCGCTGGTGCAGCCGCTCTGTCAATACACTTCCTGGGTAGGGCCAAGTAACAAACCTTCATTTCATCATCATTGACCAAAAGTGTCTGTGGCAGAATTAGCCAATTCTCATATGAACACTTTTGAGCTTTTAACTTGTTCTTCAAATCAGACCATTTTATTTGAATTAAAGTTGAAAGTATTGAATCATAGCAAAGTACTTTGTCTGTCTGTCTGTATCTAATCATTTCAGAACTTTGTCTTTAGGCTTGCAACATATGATTATTACTTGAACTTGCCATTAACATTTGATTAGTAAATGTTGTAAATCATTTAATAAACAAATTATACAGTATTTGTTTTTTTGTCTCAAATCCAGCCCTGGTTCACTAAATAACCCATTTAAATGTATTAAGTATAAAGACGTTTCCATGACATGGTCAAAAATGTCTCCGGTGTTGACGACGTTCTATTGATAAACTAAAAACTAGACAGATTTTTGTGTGACAGAGAGATGATCAGGCTACTATCTGGTGGTGTGCGAGTATTCACTAGTCACATACATGAACTCAGTGTTCAGGCGCACAGGTGTGCCTCCACCATTCCACCTAGTAAAAAGAAAAATACAGGAATTGCCTTCCAGCTACTTCGAAGAAAGCACTAACCTGTAAATATAACATTTGAATGTCTCGGACTCTAAATAAACTTGATGCTAATGCACTATTCATCAAACTGTTCCGGCTTTAAATGCATGTTTATATATCGGAATGATGTTGCTTTTACTTAAAATGTCCTGTACTCACTTTGGTTTGATTGCATCCTCCTGATTTTCCTCCAGAAGGTCATAGATGTAGTTGTTGTAGATTTCTATGTAGGAGACGAACACGGTGTAGCTGCTGTCCTCATCCACAGCGTCGGTTTTATAAGCCTCCGCTGACGTGATCATGTCAGCAATTTCAGGATCTTTTTGTCTGAAATCAGAGCAGTGACTCACATGTTATACATCAGTTACACTGTGGCAGGATGCTGGTGTCTAACAGGACTTTGACTTACCTGGAGGAGGAAGAAGATGATTTAGGAACAGGCATGTTGTTTTCCCGCCTCTGGCGCTCCAACAAAGCATCGACTTCATTCTGGACCTCCAAGCCATTTTTTTCATCAGTCTTGAAGACCTAAAAAAACAAAACCCAGGAGTAATTCAATTGGGTAAATAAGCTGAAATTAGAAATGATTTGCTGATTTTCAATTGTTTAGGCAGCCTACTATTAGTTAAAGCAATTGCATTTACTTTATTAGTGTTGGTACAACAGATGATCAACAGTGTTCTTGAATGTTTACTTACATATCTTTTGGCCTGGTAGGGTCCTATACTGTTGAAGATCATGTCAAGTGAGCGAGGGAGAAGACCACCCTGGCCCGGAGAGCCAGTCATAGTGAACGTCTTCCCACTTCCTGTGACCCCGTACGTGAAGAGCAGACCTGCAACAACAAGGCAAAATTGCGCTTATTTTGTATGCAAATGAGGCAGCTGGCAATAGTTAAACTGTTATTATTTAGTAAAAATGTGTTTTCTTCTGAAGCTGGCCAGTTCTCTTACCATTTTTTCCATGGATGAGGTCATCAACAAGAGGTTTGGCCACATGCTCAAACAGCTCTATCTGAGTTGTTGACAATCCAAATACTTTTTTGAAGGAATACTGAGTCTGAGAAGCAAAAGAGAATGGAACATTTGAGGGGAACTGTATTACAATAAAGAATATGGCTGACTTCATCATATTGGTTTTTAACAAATTGCATTTGAACACTCGTTTCTCAAAACTTCCGAAATATTTCACATGTGCCATTTATGTGTTTTTTTTATCAATCTTGACAAACAATGGCTAAGACATACAAGACTATGGGAACATAGACCATACTTATAATACAATGTATTGTTTGTTTTTGGCTTTTTATGAGTTTCTTTTACAATAAAAAAAGCAGACTATGACAGGCTGAATGCTTTAAAACCAAAATTAGACAGGTTTTAATTTACACGTTGTGTAAAGGACAAGACATTCCTTAGCTTAATAGCAGGGAAAACCCTAATTATGAAAACAATGGGTGGGAAAACACAACTACTCCGGGTTCAAAATGTCCGTTACCTCTTTGTATTCTCCATTGCGGTTTGTTTTGAAGCCTTCAGGGGCGTGCAGCTGGATGGTGGAGCTGCTTATAACCTCGATGCAGCACTCCTCATCCTCCAAACCCAGGGGCCGTACACGACAATACACCTGAGCAAAAGCACAGGAGGAGGACATGTTCAGTTGCACTGATTTAATTCAATTAAAAAAGGAAAAAACAGAAGACAAACAAAAAAATACCAAACCTTAAACATACTGGGTCTCTCCAACTGGCTGATGTGTTGATGCTTTTGATGTTTCATGTAAATACCTATGAATGGCCTTTTTACTGAAATAATTTAAATGAATGTGCCTTGCTTCACTACTCTTAGTTCATAGTGTCTTTTGACAAAACAATTACCTAGTAAGACATTCTTGAGAGATTGGACAAAGTAGGTCTGGTTGTTTGAAGGCCATTTTATTATTGTGCAATTGTAGATTGTAACTTCAAACAAACAGTCTCAAAGTTGTGTCCCACCTTTTGTAAAAAAACATCAAGTATAAGGTAATTAAATCATGCAACATTAGGGGCTTATAAATGCCCAACATTCAGATGTCCCATCCCAGAAGTAAAGAATGCAACAATGTGTGTTATTTGCTAGTTCTTGAACAAACACTCACCCCAACCGGGTCTTTCTGGTTGCTGGAAGGCTTTTTCGGAGGAGGCTTGCGGGGCGTTTTACACTTCCTGAAAAAATAATCACATTTCATTAGCAGAGTGTATTGTTAGCATTAGCTTTCCATTTGAGTAGGCGATGGTGTGAGAGCTAAGGCTCTGGCTAGACGGCGTATTAGCCTCCAGCTAACGTTACGGCTAAGCTAGCTTGCTAAATCACTCGTCATTGATTATAATCCGTTGACAAGCCCGTAAACTGCAACACATTTAGCATGAGCATAAAACGTATACGTAATGTGCTCCGTTCGCAATTATTTAAAACATAATCGTGTAAAATACTAAAGTAAACTTACGCTTGTCGGATCATTGTTGCTCGCTGCTCCGTGATGTTTTTACTGTTGCCGTCGCTACAAGTTTTTGAACTTTCCCTCCGCCTCAAATCAGATGACTTTTTCAAAACGAGCCGGCTGCAGCCAATCAGATCTCACAACAAGCGGACACGTGTTTCCGTCTTCCGCTCCGAGCCTTTTAGGGAACTACAGAAATGTGAAATATGCAGCAGTCAAGATCATTAACCGATACTAGCACACAACCGGATACACAGAAAGACCACGCAAACTAAAAATAAACAGCAACAGGGAGAATTGGAACTCTCACAATTTTTTCATTTTGGCTGTATTACATCATGTTTAAGCCATACATAATCAACAACACATAGGTATGTTATTCAACAAAAAGAAGACAGATTGAAACTATAATCATAAGAAATTATTAACAAAAATATCCTTTACAGATTGATATTATATTTTCATATTCTGCAGCCCATGTAATGGTTCAATATAGTGCTTTGCTTTCTATTTGGAGTTGTTGTATGGGGTTTCTTTTCAGTCCTTTTGCATAGAACTTTCCATCTTATCAGAAGGTTCAAAATGAACATTTCATAATCAATATAAGTATTTTCAAAGAATAAACAATGCAGAAAAAGTGTACATCTAAAAAAAAAAGTATATGTTTAACCAGAAATATACAATGAAAGTATTTTTTTTTTTTTTTAATTATGAGAGTAATAAATAATACATCATTTGTTTTACGTGTAGTATCATTATTATTGTTTTAATTATTTTGATTAATATTGTTTTTATTATAAAACAATTCATTCATTTTATAGAATATTGTAGAGGCCTTAAGATTTAGGCAATATTGCAACTAAAGAATAAATATACTTTTTTTATATAGTTTGCGGCTGGTTGGTTGTTTTTTAATATATATATTATAATAAATATATATATATTATTTTGTATAGTAGTAGTAGTACCTATGAGTAGAACACAGAATAAAGAATAACGCTTTTTTTCACACTCCATTTTAATTATGTAGCCTAACTTACCGTACTATACACAAAGTAATTAATGATATGTTTCACTCTGACCAAAATAATAATATGTTTGTCATGAAAGCACTCCTCTTCTGAAAGAGACTGCATAGAATCTGAAAGCTGATCTTTTGTAGGTGTTGTAGTCCTACCTGAACACCAAACATGGCGTCCAATAGGTGTTGCTGGTAGTTAAAACAACGACCCCTTGCGTCCACCAGCTGTAACACACACACAGTTACAAAACAGAGGGGCAGCCATTAAAGTTCACGTGCTGCGATATTATGCAAACACCGGAGTTCCTGCACTGCAACATTAAACACTGAATCTCACAGGTAAGCAGTCTGTCTAAGTCTTTATTGTGGCAACTAGATGAGTAAATGTCGGGTCAGTTCCTCTCTGCTGTCTCGTGTTGAACAGGCGTGTTTTCTTTAGGAGGGAAACATGAAAACAAGACAGGCGAAGTCAGCAGATGAATCTGAATCAAAGGGAAGAGTGAAGAAAAAAGCCGGGGAGAACTCTGGTCCAGCTCTCTCCAAAAAACTACGAGAAAGAAAAGATGGAGAAACATCCAAACAAGGTGTGCAACTCTAATGGTGCAGACTCAGTATGTTGCACATACAATCATGTTCCTGTCATGAAATATCGTTTTTTTTTTGCAGTGCCTCCTCTCAAGTCTACAGGAGTCCAGAAGAGAGCAGGGTATGGGAGCATCCTGCACTACCTTTACAAGAGCACTCTGGGACAAAATCTTCACTCACAGATGAAACAGGTGAGACTTCTACGGCTGTGCAGATTGAGAAAAATAACCTAGCAACGTAATGCCATAACTGTATCAGAATCAGAGTCGGTTTTATTGCCAAGTAGGTTTACACATACCAGGAATTTGCTTTGGTATAAGTGTGGTGCATACAGAAACACAGAAAGAAGAATACGTAGAAACAAATATAATGAAAAAATATTACTATTATAAAAAATAAAACAAATTGTAAAAAATAAAGACAATATTTACACAAAATATAATTATGTGGGAAACCGAGTACAGTAAAACATGAAAATACTATGTTCAAAGAGGAGAGCTATGCTGATTTAAAAAGAGGTATCGTGTGCAGGATTTACAATACAAAAAAGATCAAGATATTGTTTGCATGATGTGTTTATCTTGGGTGGATGTGACTGTAGTAAACGTCCTCAACATGCATTATCATTATGTGTATACTAGTGCTTGGTATGTATGCATCATTTCTGCCATGTAGATATCTATGGGCAGATTAGCTCGCAGGAACAGTTGATCATTAAACGTTGTTGTTTGTTGCAGTGTCTTCAGGAACCTTTTGTCCGCTCGCTGTCTTCATATCAGTTCCACGGGGCCACCAGCCCCTTCGACCGCAGGATCACCTGTCTGGAGTGGCATCCCACTCACCTCACCACTCTGGCTGTGGGCTCCAAAGGTGGAGACATATATCTGTGGGACTTTGAGGCGCCTGGGAAGAAAACCTTTCTCCAAGGGGTGAGTGTCTTCATGCTCCATCTTCCTTTGTTTCTTCCTTTTCTGCTTTTGAAATATGCAGCAACTTATTCCACAATTACATTTTGAAGCGATTATTAATTTACAAACTGTGCAAATTAGATTAACATGAAGACACACTTGTATTGGTTCTTTGCTTAGATGGGGATTGGAGACTCAGTTACTGACATGAGGTTTAACCGGTTAAATCCCAGTCAGCTGTTCACCTCGTCTATGCGGGGTAGGACAGCTCTTCGAGATTTGAATGGGACGATTCTATCAGTGTTTGCCAGCACAGACATACGAAAGTAAGAGTTGTCCTTAAGCTGCAATACAAAAAGTAGATTGCAGGCCTGAGCATCAGTCTTCTTATCAGGCTCTCTTGGTTTATTGCTAAACATTTGTGTGGTGTCGATCACTACAACTGCAACCAACCATTATTTTCAGTATCTATAAATCTGACAACTTTTCTTTGGTCAATAAAGCATCCATCCAAAGTTTTTCAAAGTCCAAAATAATGTTTTAAATGTCTTGTTTTGTCAATCCATAAACCAAAGGCCTTCGGTTTATTATTAGATAAATAAATAAAAAGCAGGAAAACTCCCTCATTTGAAAATAATTTCAGTAATTATAAGAGTTTTACTGATAACTGTCCTGCGTTTCTGTTTCTGTGCACAGAACGGAGCAGGAGACTTTATTGGAGGGATGATATTTTGCCCGTCAGACCCCTCCAAACTTATTGTGGCTTCTGGTGAGGGCACACTGAACATGCTGAGCTTTGAGGGCCGCCCACCCACCGTTCTGTCCCGAACTCAAGACTGTGGCCACGATCACCACCATGTTTGGTGAGGAAACTGAGAAGAAGACTGACACTCAGAAAGATCAAGAGGGATCATGTGATCTTCTCATTGTTATGTTGCTATGCTGAAGTATAAAGCTCTACAATGTATCCCCAACTTTTCAGTTTTTCATTAAATAAAAAAAGCCTTGTTTTAAGATTTCTAACGCTGCATTTCTTAGACAAATCAACATATCTTTTTGGTTGGTATACTATATAGAGGCAACCTTTAGTTTAATGTGAGCACTTAAAAATCAGCTAGTAAAGAAATAGTTTTCACTTTACAGCAATGATAAGTAAACTTTCAAATATTTCATTGACTCTCATTCTGTTGAATACAAATAAAACTCACTTTGTTTTGTTTCTTACAGTCACTGGTACTGCTGCGTGGATGTGTCTGTAAGTCGACAGATGCTTGTGACAGGGGACAATGTGGGACATCTCGTACTCCTGGGTTTGGACGGCCAAAAGGTATGTCTCCATTCCCCCGAAAGTTTAACTTAAGTCATTCTACTTTATGAGGCGACAAAAGACATGAGTTGATTTCTGGCCACTAACGAGAATCAGTATTTCTCACAACTAACAGTTCCAAAACGTTTTTGTGATGAATTCAGATTTTATTTTTGAATGCCTTTTTGTTCTATTTTGATGTTGCAGATTTTCAGTGAGAAGTTGCACAAAGCCAAAGTTACCCATGCAGAGTTCAACTCCCGCTGTGATTGGTTGTTGGCGACCGCATCAGTCGACCACACGGTGAAACTTTGGGACCTGAGGAACATCAAAGACAAGAAGAGCTTTCTCCACGAGATGCCGCATGATAAAGCTGTCAACTCAGGTGAAACCCTCACTCAGAAAACTCTACTACCATCATCATACCATAACATCCACGTTTTATTATTAATTAAAATAATACATGTAGTTGTGAAGTAGTAGATGCAAGAATCACTGTTGGTGATAGATGCAAGTTGTTTTGTTGTTTTGTCTTTGGACATTTAGTTCAGATTTCTTAATTTATTTGATGAAAATGTAGACAATACCTTAAAGTCATTACATCCATGATTTGAGCAGTTGTAAAGAAAATCTTTGTTATTTTGTAAATCTGTTATTACAGCCTATTTCAACCCTCTGGACTGCTCCAAGTTGCTCACCACAGATCAGTACGACCAGATCCGGATCTACTCCTCTCCTGATTGGTCGAAGCCTCAACATATCATCCAACATCCACACAGACAGTTTCAGCATCTCACGCCCATCAAGGTTTAATTCTTCTCTAGATGTGTATGTTTCCTTTGCTAACTTATCCTGAGACAACCACTAGTTATCCTAGTTTGGTTGCACAAAGGATCAGCGCATATACACAAACAAACACGGATATCAAAACATTTGTAGAAAATAAAGGCAAAGGTAGTACATAAGGAGACCCATGGGAGGTTTATTCAAGAAGGAACTTTCTCAGTGTGGTACAGTACAGTTTGAGATGATACAATACTGTTGTGTATTTATTAATGGCTTATCTGATATGGACCGATACAGTATACATAGACAAACTGAAAACAGTTATCCAATGAAAGTGTCCTATATTGTTCTATATCAAATGCTAGAGTGCAACACTGTCCTTAAAAGGGCTTTTATTATGCTTGTATCAGGCTTTTATTCGTTAAGAGATTACAGTGAGGTAAAAAGAATGTAAACAGGTACAGAAGCTGCGATAAAGCACAAATTAAAAACACAATATTTCACAATCTAGACATAGGTACAGTGTAGCTGCTCTCGTGGATCTATTCAAGCTCTGCAACCTGGCGTTACTATCTATTCTAATCTATTATTTCTCTCAAGGCCACATGGCACCCTGTCTATGACCTCATCATGGCAGGCCGTTACCCCGACAACCGGGTTTGCCCCGGAGACCAGAGGACCATCGACATCTTTGACTCCAACACAGCAGAGCTTGTGTGTCAGCTGCAAGATCCCGCCGTCTCAGGTATCAAATCTGTGAGTATGACTTTAAAAACACTGGGCGGGGGGGAAATGGAGACAAGAAAGCTGTGGTCTTTAACACCAATAATTATGTATTTACAGGTAAATAAATTCAGTCCAATGGGTGATGTGATTGGATCTGGAATGGGTGAGTTATCCATTTAAGGGATTTCATGTCTGATCATACCAGTTGTGTGAGAGGAGTTAAAGTGTGTCACTAAAGCTGTGAAGACCACTGAGACAAATATTACATTTGTGATATTGGGCTATATAAATAAACATTGATTGATTGATCATTGACATTTACTAAAGACACTTAATGTTCACTGCAGGTGTGTCGGTGCTGGTCTGGAATAGAAACAGGTTGTTGATGAGCGATGAGTCCACAGCGCAGGAGGAAACTTCTGCCTCAGCGGAAAGTTCAGGAAGCCAGCGGAGGAATCGGCAGCACCCCAGCAGGGAGAGGAGAGGACCGGCTCTGGATGCAAAGCTCAAGAAGAAACTGGCTTCTCTGGAAGAAACGGAAACCAAGACCAAGACTAAGAGTATTAAAGAAAAGCTAGCCGAGATGAGGAAGAAATAAACTATACAATAGTGTATCTGATCCATCTACTGAAGCCTTTCTCAACCATTGGGCCACAGCCTATTGGTGGACCTCCGAGCACCATATGTGTCTTCTGAGATTAAACTAAGAATGCTTTCAACCTATTGGACTGTAATTGACCAGCATTGTACACTTTGATTACATTTAAAAGGGAAACGATATTTATTTCCATTTTCTATTTTCAGGCATGTTGTCACCGTACTGTTCATCTTGATTATAAAATACATCACTGGTTGTCTGATGGAAAACAAAAGAGGCAAGAGCTTTTATCTTTAAACATGTTATGTTATTCATGCGATAGTAGAACTGTCCATGTCTATACATTCCTTTGTATTTCAGTGTTCTTTATGTCTCAAATTCAGGGATTGCTCAAATGCAAACATGTTCTTTTATAGTGTAACGTTTTTTTATACTTCAATAAAAATTACAACATTATACATGATTGAGGTTTTTATTTACAAATCTTTGAATACACATTAAAGGAAGATGTAGGACAAGAGATGTATTGCTGACACCTTTATCTTATGCAGATAGGCAGTTTTTGTATCATGCATAACTGAAAAGATAACTTCCACGTAGTTCATGGACCGTAACATTTGCCAGCTGGAGGAGCACTTCACTCCAGGCCTCCTGATGCTCTTCTCCATCCTGATGCCAGGCCTGTTGGGCAGAGTACACCATGCTCAAAACAAGACCGTTAAACTGATCTGGAGTCAGCGGCCGATTCTGACTCTTATGAGCTGTCGCCATCTGCTCCATGGTGCTCGGACTTCTGGGAATGTTGTCATTAATCTGAGACAGGAAAGCCCGCCCCGTCCTCATGGATGCCATCTCCTTGTCCAGCAGAACAATGTTGTTGTCATGGTCGATCTCCACCCCACCCAGCAAAAACTGCACACAGGTTAGAAAAATCTCTGCAAGTTAAATATGGCCCGGTATGTGATTTAAATGCATGAACACAAGTCTGAAATGAAAAAAGTACCTCAAACATCAGGTTTGCATCAAAGACAGATGAGCCGGTTTTTGGAGGTGTTGGACTTCTGCCTGCAGCCACATCTAACGTAGAAAATACTGCAGTTTAACTGTAACACAATGGAGATGCAGGAAAACTATCTGTGCATTGACACCTTGTAATGCTATGAAATGCATATTGATTTCTGCATGCTTCATCATTATATAACCTAAAGTCACTTTCCTGTCAGTACATTTTCAGTTTTCACTTACCTTGCAGCCCTTGCTCCAATGAAAGCCATACAATGACCTGAAGGCAGAATTCAAGATGTTTTTTCATATTCTTCTTTAGATTGTTGCAGTCAGATTAAACGCTGCATCCTTCTTTGCGCTCCCTCAGACACTTGTGTGAGTCAGGGCAGAAACAGATCAACTTGAATACCACTCGTTTTTCCACTTTGGAAAATAGTAGCAAAAGCCAGATGGCTGTGATGCAGAGCAGAGATACTTTTTACAATCTCTTTATTATCCACATGCCGAACTCTGAGCTACAATGACTTAAAGTTCACAGAGGCAATTTACCCTTTATACCCAAGAACAAACAAGTCATTCATTAATACATGCTTTTCCCCAGAATATTGAACAATGCAAACAAAAGTAATAACCAAAAACAATCCTTCACAAATTCAGTTTCAGTTAAGGGTACTTCTCAGCATAGATACATCTATATATATTAAATATTAAAATAATCAGAAACTAAGGTAATACCACATATAGACAAATGCCACAATAGAGTTGGTCTCATGTAAGGCAGATTGGTGAAGATTATGGTATGCACTTTATACTGTAACAAAGGCATTCACTTTATCATGTCTTGACTATGTAAACTACTGAAGTCCTCAGCGGTCCAACTTCATAGCTCATTCACTTCATTTGATTTACTTTGTAAAATCAAAGTTTATGTGAGCTGAGGTTATGCCCAGCATTATTGACATCAGGAACTACTGTATTTCCAGTGTGTTGTAGTAGCGCATCTCCTCCACGTGGCAGCAGCAGCACCAGTTGACTGCTCTTTTCTGACAGATGGAAAAGTGTATTTACTTCCGGTGAAGAGTTCAGTTGTTCCTGGATAATAAAGTACTCAAATAAAGGTAAATGCGATTGTTTACTAGTCTTTCATAAAAATAATTTTTAATAATTGTTTTCGAATTTGCAGTGCTAGTTATAACTATACCTCCATGATATCACGGTTAAATTGTGACTCGCCTGTGTAGCAAGCTAATCCTGACCGTAAACACAACACAGGGTTAGCTAGCGTTAGCTTCCTACTACCGTTACACCCACACTGCGCATTACCGCAGACATTAACCTAAATAAACATCACTCATCACATTATTTAACGACAGTATAACCACGCCTTTGAGAAGATGCTTCTGTGGTTTGATATTATGAAGATATGCAATTATTTATTAAATACGTTTAGCAGAAACGACTGCTAATTAAACAGTTCTGCACTAAATCCTAACTCAGTGAAAGTTGTAATATTTGTATGTTAATTTGTGTGTTTTTTTTTTAACTGTATGGCAATTTTGGAGTCTTCTGTTGTATAGTGTTTTACTGAACAATTTTTACTATAACGCATTACTATATAACAACACCACAGTAAACATTAAGACCATGAAGTTGAAGCAACACCAAAGCTACAGGGATAACCACTATTAGCCTACTCCAAATATATTGTATTGTATCGAAAGAGCTTTCTGTGCAGAAAATGTGTTGCCATTCAATAATTTGTCTACTAAAAACTATGAACAAATGTGGGTATAATGTAGGTGAATTGTGTTCAAAAGTATTTACAAAAGGGAAATCCTTGTTTATAAATCAATGTGATTTTCTTAAATAACCTGAACCTGAACTTCCTATGTTAAAATAATTTGTTATTAAATAATATTAGTCAATAATAGTGTTATTGCCCAATGTATTGTTATGATATTCCCAAACATCGCCTACAATCAACACCTATAGAAATATTTCATCAACAACTTTAAACAATCACCTTTATAAAGATGTAGACAGGTTATTGGAGGGTTTTTGTATTTTTGCAAACCTTGACATGTTTTATAAAGTACCAACTGACTGTAGATGGATGCTCTGCTGCTTGCTGACTTGTTTAGGTGAGCAGTAAAGATGGAGTCCAGCGAGGAGGGGGGCCTCAGTGTGGGCGGCTCTGTGGGCGAGGAGAACTATTTCCTTGGATACACCTTCACCGACCGCTCCCACTCCAACCGGGTGGTGAAGAGCATCATGGACCTGTGTGTGGGGGACAGCCTGTTCGCTGACGTCACCATCAACGTGGACAGCAAAGAGTTTCAGCTGCACCGGCTCGTGCTGTCGGCACAGAGCAGTTTCTTCCGCTCCATGTTCACCTCCAACCTCAAAGAGTCCCACAACCGCTCCATTGAGCTGAAGGATGTCAGCGCCACTGTCTTTCAGCTGCTGGTCGACTACATCTACCACGGCACGATTAAACTGAGAGTGGAGGAGCTCCAGGACACCTATGAGATGTCCGACATGTACCAGCTGACTGCTCTGTTTGAGGAATGCTCCCGCTTCCTCTCACGGACAGTAGAGGTCAACAACTGCCTGCAGGTGAGTCACTGTTTTAACACGTCTCTGCTACTTAGTCACATTTGTGTCAATTGTATCAGTTTAGTCATATGACATGTTTTTGCCCAGGTGATGTGGCTTGCAGACAGACACAGTGACCAGGAGTTGTACACCGCAGCTAAGCATTGTGCCAAAATCCACCTGGCCCAGCTGCACCAGACTGAAGAATTCCTCAACCTGCCTCTCTGTTTGCTCTTGGACATCCTCAAAGGTATCACCGGTTTGCTGTCCTATCACGATGTGGCCTGGTGTCCCAAACTGTGTTATCACATTTACTCAAAGTCATGCGTTGTATTAGTTACATTACCGCTAGCATGAGCCCCAACGTTTCTTGTCTGCCACTTAACTATTGACGATCTGAAATTGACAAATGTAAAAAAACACCTCATGTACGTGACTCACTAAGCTTTGTGTTTTTTTTCAGATGGAGTTCCTAGTTCCCAGAATCCAAAAGTGGCCATTGATTCATGGATAAACAACAACAAGGTGGAGAGAGAAGAGTTTTTATGCATCCTCCAAGAAAATCTCAAGGTAGCTCACTTTCAACTAGAGCTGACATTTTTATTTATTTTTTTGTATCCAATTCTTGCCTTTTTTTGTTGTTTGTATTCAAATGTTGTTTTGTTTTACACATTATACAGTATACAAACATCGGCACACACTCAAGTCATCCCCTGGGACACTGGCCAACACACCAAGAGTACAAAATAACAATAATAGTAACAGTTATTTTTAAGATATATTTAAGCGCTTTGAGCACCAGGAAAAGCGCTTTATAAATGTAATGTATTATTATTGTTATTTATTATTATATATATTATCAACAATTTAAATAACAAGTAAATAGAATAAAGATTCTTCAGCGACTCTGTAAAAAGTTATGGTCGTCAGTTACAGGCAATTAGTTATAGTAAACATAATATACCGGTCCATTCAACAGTTAACCCAAGGGCAATGCATAGGGAGAGGCTGGATTTCTAATTAAAAAGAATGAGGAGTCTTGGTGGTGAAAAGGCAATATTGTGGCTCGAGAGAGATTGAAATCAATATGAGCAAATACAGGTCTTTATTCCTTTGGACCCTTTGCCCTGTGTGTTGGAGATATATATATCTCTTTATATTATTTAATAGTGTAACATTTATTTTCTTGCTGTTTATAGTGTTTATTATTATTATCATTTATTTATATGTATTCTTAGTTAGTGTCATAAGTTAAAGTAGTGTCTATGCTTTTATTTTGAAGGCATGTTTTGGGCACTGGGTGATTAGAGCACCTGGTGTAATTGTATATATTGGAGACAGATGGAGGTGGGAGGCAGAGCACTAGTAGGCAAACGTTTCTTTTACCAGGGTGTTTCGAGCCACACAAGGGAAAGCCATAGGAAAGGCTTAAGGAAAGAGATATAGGAAAGAGATATAGGAAACCTGTTCATTGTATTTTGTTATAGGAATAAAATGCACAACGGAGAATCTTGTCTGGACCTGGATCATTGCCCTGCGTAAGATCCGCTAACTAGTGCCTCAGCGGCCGTATTATTTTAAGTTAATTATCTGTTTTAGTTCTATATGATTTTGGCCGCTACACTGTGTCTGTAGCTTTATAACAATGTACACAAGTGTTTCTAATTTATGTCTGTTTGAACTATTTTTATCTGTAATGGCGGATGTCTTTCTCTTGTACATCCACAGGAAATCGGGGAGAATGTCCACATTTACCTGATTGGTAAGGAGGAGGCGCGGACTCACTCGCTGGCCGTGTCACTTCACTGTGACGAGGACGATTCGATCAGCGTGAGCGGCCAGAACAGTTTATGCCATCAGATCACTGCGGCCTGTAAACACGCAGGTGACCTGTATGTGGTGGGGGGGTCCATCCCTCGCCGCATGTGGAAGTGCAACATGCACACCATGGACTGGGAGCGCTGCGCCCCGCTGCCCAGAGACCGCCTGCACCACACCATGGTCTCCGTCTCTACGGAGGACACTATCTACTCACTGGGGGGAAAGACGCTGCAGGACACTCTCTCTAACGCCATCATCTTCTACACAGTGAAGGACAACATGTGGACAGAGAGCAGCCAGCTGGACACCGCGGTGTCCGGGGCCGCCGGTGTGAACCTGGGAGGAACCATCTACCTGCTCGGGGGGGAGGAGAACGACATGGACTTTTTCACTAAGCCGTCTCGACTGATTCAGTGCTTTGGCACCGACACACGGAAGTGCCACATCAAACCTTACATGCTGCCGTTCGCGGGCTGCATGCACGCTGCGGTGCACATGGACGTGATCTTCATCGTGGCAGAGGGAGACTCCCTGGTCTGCTACAACCCGCTGCTGGAGAGCTTCACCCGCCTGCGCTTCCCCGAGGTGTGGAGCTGCGTGCCTTCTCTGTGGAAGGTGGCCAGCTGTAACGGCTGCATCTACGTATTCAGGGACAAATGTAAGAAAGGAGACGCAAACACGTTAAAGTTCAACCCGGCAACATCCGTCGTCTCAGTTATCAAAAGTTTAAAAATCTTCCTCACAAACTGGCAGTTTGTCTTGGCCTAAACTCTCCTCTGGAAGTCATACTGCGGTCCACACATTCACCACAGACAATCAGGGACAACTAACCATGACTTCACTCTTCAGACATCCGCTGTAACTGTATTTACTCAGCTGGTTTCTGTGCCACTCATTCCATCAGGACTTCACCACCAGACCAGTAAAAAGGAACAGCGGTGTGTGTGTGTCACTCGCTTGTGTTGTTCCAGTGTGTCTCATTGTGAAGTCAAACAATGTGTAGTGATGCTGTGACGGTGAAATAATAGACGTTGTGTCCTGTGCACTGCTCGTTTATTGACACGCATGAACAACTCCATTGTAAAAACGTGACTGAACGTAAAACATCCTTCAGTATATTGTGTGTGGTTAAACGTGTCATGATGTTGAAGGATACATATCCTCAGATGTCATATTTGAAGTAAAATGTGTATAAACCTGATAAGAGGATGTTTTCTAACTTTTACATTTTTCACAGTTTCTTGTCTTACGATTGTATTTTTTGATGTTAAACTGTAACAGAAATGTCAAATATATGGCTGTAGTTGCAAGCTTTCATTGTTTGTTCTGATATTTATGGCCCTTAACCCTTTTTGCATTAACTATCCCTCACTATTAATACTTTGTTTATTACCAGGGATTTGGTATCTTTACTTCCTGCAGTTATACCGCTATGGATTTAGAAAGGGTGGGATTTGTTGCTGTGCTTTGGTGCTTTGCCTCAACAAAGACGTAACTCCTTACAGTATTTATCTTTGGATTGGCAATGCATCTTGTGAATGGTGAGGTGTTAAAGGTGCCTGTTTTGTCCTTGGGGGAGGACAAGAGGAGTAGAAGGCGAGAAAGCCACTACAGAAAGGCCACAACTCTCCCATTGATGTGTTGCAGGAGGCTGTGCAGCTGAAACCCAAGCCCAGTTACATGTCAGACTTTGTGAACTATTCTAAGCATCAGTTGCTGACGCCAAGATGAGGGGGGGGGGGGGGACATAAGCGCCTCCATAAGAACTCCCAATAGGAACTGACTGCCACTACAAGCACCATCTGACATGCAGTCCCTTAATATTGGGCAATAAAGCTGTTTATAGCCCCTGTATCACAGCCATAGCCCCACGGTTGGGTGTGGATGTGTTTCGGATGCTCCGCAGGGTTGTGATGAAACCTTCTGGAGTCCAGTGCAGAGGGAGGTTTAGTGCGAAGGTAGATCGCTAGGAGCTGAAGTGACCTTGGGACCGCTTGCTGAGGGCAGGACAGAATTCCTGAAGGGACACATGGTCTAGAGTGACAAGACCATCTGCTCCAGCGCCAGCAGCAGCAGGAAGGTGGAGGGGGTCGGACACGGGGGGTGCTGAGAATTCCTCTTGCTGGGGTGTGGAGGGAGCAGATATTCTGGGATATCACTGCTAGCACTCCGCCGGGGAAACGTGTTTCTTTGGCATTTTTCAAGCGGAAATCCGAGGGAGATTTTTGAACACTTGATGGTGAGAGGGGATCGTTGCAGGGTTAAATGGGGAAGGTATTTCTCTGGTCCTCTTGCTCTCTACGAAGCGACCGGCGATAATGGTCTCGGTGTGTTGCTGTTTTACTTCGGTGGATCCAGTTTCCTCTCCATCTCGGCACAGCCGGAGCTGAGAGAGTGGGATCTGGTAGGCCTGCTGGCAGCGACCTCTCCGAGGATCATCTTCAAGGGATCTTCTTTGAAGTCGTTCTTCGCATGGCAAGGATCTACTTTCTTGCTGCCTCACTGAAATTGCATGGCCTAAACGAATCAATATTTGTATGAGGCGCCTAGACCAGAGATGGGCCAGGACCAAACCAAGCTGCAGATAGAGAAGGGCCTGAGGTTGTATCAGTCCAATCAGACGGACAAAGCCCTGAATGTCTGGACAAACGTGCTGTGGAAGACCTCAGATCCTGGGGGGAAGTTTCGGGTGTTGGGGTGCCTGATCACAGCCCACTCGGAAATGGGAAAATATAAAGATATGCTAAAGGTAAGCCTCAAACAAAAACATTTTAACCAAATCTGTGTCCTCTCGATATTTGTTTAGATAATTCATGTGAAGACATTTCTCACATTTTCATTTCTGTGTGATCAGACTGGTGTTATGCAACGAGCAGTGTGTGTGGGAGTGGAGTGTGAGCCACTGAATAGCCCATTAACTTTATTTGTGATCATGTCCAGTCGGGGTTTAACAGATCGTGCTGTAGTAGCATTTTTACATTTCTACTACGTCCAAGTGATAATTGAAGGAGAAGGGGTCAAAGGTCGGCGCCTTGGTTCCATTTACAGTGATCTTGAGAAGCATGGGTTAATGTGTGGCTTCCACACGGTGCAGAGTAAATAAGTGCCCTGCAACCCGAGTATCAGTGTGGGGTGTCTTGTTGACACAACCATCTATACTCATGCAGCAGTCACTCTTAAATGAAGACTTTACAAAGTAGAGGCCTCATGTCTTTGAAGAAGGATATCATTTATCTTTTTAGTTAGTATATTTTTTAATGTAATCACCATGAACCTGCTTGTTCTCCATGGCCTCCCTCTCTCTCTTTGCAGTACGCTCTCACTCAGATCGACACCGCCAGGGAAATGGAGGACCCAGACTACCTGACAGAGGGTTACCTGAACTTGGCACGCAGCAACGAGAAGCTGTGCGACTTCCAGAAAACGGTGTCCTACTGTAAGACCTGCTTGAACATGCAGGGTACCACCGTCAGCCTGCAGCTCAACGGCCAGGTTTGTCTCAGCATGGGCAACGCCTACCTCGGCCTCAGTGTCTTCCAGAAAGCTCTGGAGAGCTACGAGAAGGCCCTGCGCTACGCTCACAACAACGACGACAAGATGCTGGAGTGCAGAGTCTGCTGCAGTCTGGGAAACATCTATGTCCATTTAAAGGTAACATTTTTGTAAAATTATTGAGATTTTAGCTGAACAGTTGTTGACAAAGAACTGAGGTCCTTCGTTTAAGTAAAGTAGAAAAACTATTGTCTAAAAACACTCTTTACAAGTTCAAGTCCTGTATTCAAATATTTACGTGAGTCAAAGTACAGAAGTATCATTAGCAAAATGCACTTTAGTATCAAAGTAAAAGGACCCTGTATGCAAAAGGCTCCTTTTTTAAATTATTATATTATTGTAGAATATTAAAAAGTTCGGTTTTTTAACTAAAGAAAACAAATAAGAACATTTTAATGTTGTAGGTTTGCAATATAAAGTCAAGTTCGGGTACTTGATAGTATATTACTGCATCACATTATATAAGTAAATGTGTAAATGTCTAATACATTCAGTAAATTAAAAAGTACAATGTAGTACCTGAAGCTGTATTTAAGTACTGTACTTCAGTAACTAGTAAGTTAAATTACAGCACACTTTATGATGTGCTGCATTAGAAATACTACTTTATCCTATTCTTTGCTTAGTATTTCCCTTTGACTATATGTCTTCAAAAGTGCTTGTATGAAAGACAAGGTGTGATACTTTTCTGTAAAATAATATTCTAATCTTTCTGAGGTTTTTTATTTAGGTAAAACATTATTGCACGTGTGACTTGATTACGCAACCAATACTGATATTGCCAACGTATTTGTGAAGTATGAAAACACCGCAGAGCATCCAAGCAAACATCATTAATGGTTCGCTCATGTGGTACGAGGCTTTGTGAAACATGGCGGAGTGAGGGGGCTTATGTAGTACCCTTGACATCAGAGATTTGTAGGAGTAATCCCTCGGCTTCCTAGGGAGGATTGGTTTCAATGGGATTGTTATGAAGAGGCGTTTGAGGAATGCACATATATGTCACGTTATTTCATAATACTGGAGACACAGAAATACTCATTCTCTAAAAGATTATTTTGTTTGAATACTGTCAGAGATGGAATTTTCCTTAAGCTTTAGAAACCAAAATGTCTTTAGGATCTAAATAAGATGTTTGATGAAGCCGTTTGCAGTGGTGGAAACTAACTAATTTACTCAAGTACTGGACTTAAAGGTAGGGTAGGTAATTCACTTCAGAAACACTTTTTGTTATATTCCATGGAATGCTCTTAACATCCCGATAGCAATGAATAAATTAAATGCTTTGTCAATAAATATATAAAAATATTTCATCTGTTGAAGCCGTGGCGCTGTAAAAAGCAAGTCCAATTATCTGCCCCGGCCCGCGGCAGATAACGGGATGGCCTACCTGCCTGTCAGCCTTCCATCTCGTGCACAAACTTATCTCGTGCCCTCATTGGGTTGGAGGAGGGGCTCTGTAAGGAAGTCTGAAGGAAGGGGCAGATTTTTTCCGGTTGTGTACTTTCAAATTCTAGCTTACAGGCACCTTTAACACCTCACCATTTTAGCTTAGCTGGTTTCTTCATTCTTACCTACCCTACCTTAAGTACGTACACATGTTAGTAACTTGTACTAGCTGAATATTTTAATTTCTTTCTACTTATTGTTATTATGAACACCACTATTGCACTTTTTACTTCACTACATTTATTTAACAGCTTCAGTTGGTATACACATTCTGAATAGATAATACAAAATATAAATCTAACCAATGAATACACATTGCCATGAAATTAGATATTAAGATATCCAGCAGCTGTGTACAAAGTTATTTAAATGACTTTTTTGAATTGTAAGGTGACTTTTTTGAATTGTAAGGTGTCCTTTGGGTCTTTGAAAGGCGCCTCTAAATAGTATTTATTATTAGGGTCTGAGACCGATAAACCTGCCAAACACACCCAAAACAAGGAAAACGACCGGCAAAAGCACAGAAAAGGTTCGGAAATCATGACGGCTGATAGGCGTGAGCCCACGTGACTGCAACTCGCATAATTGATATTGTTACAATCAATTTAGTCGCTCGCGAAGCGAGCGATAACCATGCAAAAAACAGGGATATCGAGGGGCAAAAGCCCATTAAAAGTGGCCTAAATCATGACAGTAGGTAGCCCATGCGACTACAGTGAGGTGGAGCCTCTTGGAGGGGTATAAAATAACGTACAGGAAATCGGCCATTTTTAATTTGGCATTGGAAAAACCCTCCGTACGAAATCTATCTTCTCCTAGGGACTTTTTCCGTACGACTCGAAATTCGTCCGGTAGCTTCTCGAGACATGGGCAATTCAAAGTTATCACGGAAAGTTTTTTCTTTCGCACGGCATAGCCGTGATTTGGCGACAAAGTTTGCGTTCGCTCGATGCTAGGCGGTCCCTCGCCATGGAACACGATGATGTCTTAGCGCCAACTGACATGCTCAGAACGCCACCAAACTTCAGATGATGGTTAACACTGCGGCTCTGAACAGCTCTAGGTCAAATCTGATGTTACTTAATATGGCGTTACCATGGCAACGGATCCTTCGCCATAAAACACGGTGTCGCTGTAACTCCAATGGACACGGTCCCATCGTCCCCCAATCTTCACTTTTATATCACCGGTACATGCCTCACCAGCTCAATGTGAAATCTGAGAACTCACCGTATGCCGTTTCCATGGAAACGCATCCCTCGCTAAAAAATACGATGTTGTTGTAAGTCAATGGAAAATCGTCCAAACAGCACCAG